ATTTTAAATTCATGGATTTTTTATCTATTATTTTGCAATGATCGTGACAATCGCTAAAAGGCTACTCTCTTGCTATTCCGTTTATTGGTTATTCTAGTTTAGACAGCGACAGCCTCTCGTTATACAAACAGTGCTTTACTAACCCCGATTTATTTAAGACAGTGTCAGTCATTCGCTATACAGTGTTTTTTCTAACCCCGATTTAGTTAAGACTGCGGCAGCCTTTCCCCATACAAACAGTGCTTTTCTAACCCCGACCTAGTTAAAACAGCGGCAGCCTTTCGTTATGCAAACAGTGCTTTTTCTAACCCCAATTAAGTTTATACAGCGGCAGCCTTTCGTTATACAAACAGTGCTTTTTCTAACCGCGATCTAATTAAGACAGCGGTATTATTTACATTATCTGTTACTAAAATCTGCACAAATGTTCTATTTCTTATGTAAAATGCTGTCAACTTAAAGAAATACAAATTATTTCATAACACTCCAAATATAGTTGCCATAATGAAAATAGTATTAACGTATTATTGTCACGTGCAATAATACTCTTCGGTAACATTGTAACATATTTAACATATTTTCAAACCCCAGGAATACCTCTTACGGACTCAGAAAATTCAATGAAGCAGTGGTAAAATCTATCCATATATACAAAATTGTATAGTTTTGGATATACCAACTATACAAATTTGTATATTTTGGAAATACCAAATATACAAAATTGTATATTTTGTATATATTGGAATTTTCCCTTGTGAGAGATGCCAGTGTGAGGAGAACGTGGTCCCTCAGGTTCCCCAACTGCTTCAGTTGCCAGGACAGTACAGACTGTAATTGCTATTTCTCATCTGTAGGGTATTCACCCAAATGCGCGTCCATGGCTGCAAAGGAGGATGCCAAAGCTGACATGTGGAGAAATGTCTTCCTTAATTTCCCATCTAGGGACAATATCTGGTGACCTGTGACCTTGAAGGATCCAACTCTAGAGGGACGGCACATTTTCCGTGTACACCTGGCGATCTTGGCGGTGGTCAGAAGGAAGTGGAAAGACTGTCTAACCCCAAGAAATCCTTGTCCAGGTTAACCAATGCCTCTTGGATGAATGTGTCTGGTGGCAGAGTGATGGACTCTAGGCTCCCACCCTCCAAGTGACACGCTTCTGGGTGTCTGCGCCTTGCGTGGATGATGCCTGCCGTCAGTAGAAAGTCAGCTATCCTTGGTACAACTTCTGAAAAACTGAGGCGGCCGTCCGGTACCTCTTCTTCATTGTCTAGCTCCGAAGATGGTTCACTCTCTAGAACGAAGGACCCCGAATTCCAAGAGTGACGGGTAGTAGAAGCTTAACCAAGTGCTGCCTTGAGGTGGAGGTGCTATGAGGTGATTACCTATGAGATCCATGCAAGCACCTGACAGGGAAGAGGCTGTGTCTGGCAGAGGAGTGTCTGTGCCTTGCATTCTTGCTAGCAACTACCTCAGCAAACAAGGTATGAAATTTTTCCAATGAGGTCTAGCCCCCAGGCGGGAGGAAGTGCTTCTACTTGAGGCTTCACTAGAAGCGCCACTGCTTTAAGCACAGGCATCTTGACAGACATGGGAGTCTTAGTCTTGGGCTCAATCGTCCTATCATTACGGGGCGATGAAGCAGGAAAGGTCAGATATCCTGCGACAAGCCTGTTGTTGTTTTCTTTTGTTAACTGCTCTGAGTTAGGCAAGAAAGTCTGCGTCGGAAAGATAGACACTTGCTGGATGGGAGACACTGACTCTTGCGATCCGAACAGCGTAGATGAGGGTCCTTCGCCAATTTCTTACCTTTACAGAGATCTCACTTGGCAGAAAACATCTGTAACATGGGAATACATGCTAAACCCCATAAACACTTTAAAAGCCTGCTCAAGTCTAGCCATTTAAACTGTGATGTGAAAATTGAGCGAGTTAAACCATATTTCACAAGGTAAATAGGTTTGATTACACAACAATATGAAGGAAAACCGCAACTAAAGGTAAAAAACATTCATATTAAACATGTGTCTCGCTGATGAGAAACATTCATGACAAAGTCAACTAGGGAAAAAATGGCTGCCAACATGAACACCACAAGCCGCGGTAGAAGCAGGGAAATTAATCCCATGCGTAGAAAACACTGAATACCCAACTCTGCCGAGATGAAAAGGATGGATAACACACCAAACGAACTCAGAGCAGTTTGAAACGCAAGCATCGAAGGATGGATTCTTCTGAAATCATGTAAGTGACATATAAGGGGAGTGTCTTCTGACACCTGATGTCACGGAGGTCATGTTGGGCAAAAGAGTACTGAAGACGCTACTAGATCGCCATTCATTTCCAGGTAGGACTTCGTTAGTAAGAACAATATGCAATATGTAATTCAGGATAAGTTAAATATATCATTAATTTTTTAGACTTAAGGGTCAGTGGGGTAGCCTAGTCGTTCACAGTGAATACCCAGGTTCGATTCCCCACAAGGGTACAATACCGTATATCGTTGTGTACAAGGCGAGGGTTTTTTTACCTAGAATTAGGGGGCTTTTAAGGGGGGTCGTCTTATACACAGGGTTGAAGAGTTTTGATGTTTTTCCCCCCAACACAGATATTACTGTGAGCACATAACACTAGAAATACCATGTCAACAAATCCGTAATGAAGTATGCAAACTAATCATGTAATTTACACTGTCTGGTCATAAAAAAGTGTTCATTACATATCTGGACTTATGTTTGTATTCTATTTTATTAATTTTATTCAATATTGTTTACATTCATTTCGGCAAAATCGTATGTGAAGTGATCGGAAGATCGCACAACTCACCGTTATTTACAGCCAAACATGGTCAGATAACCGCTACTGACACCTTGAAACGAACTTTAGTGGATAGAGAATGGATATATATATCATAAATGCCATACATTGACTCAATGAAAGTCATATTTATTGCAGTTTGACTATCATATGTCAACATAAAGTTTTTTTCGCTATCATGAACACAGGAGCATCGACAGTGATTGTTCCATACCAAAAAAATCTGGCGATAGCAACCAGATGTACCAAAGTGCTTATGCTTATTGTTATTAATTTATTTCAAATATATACAGTAAAGCTGCAACTAAAATAACATGATATTGAAACAAATTATTCCTGATAAAATAATAGTTTCACATACAATTCTTCCGATCATTCAAAAGTTATATTATTGGGTAATTTTTAACCGAATCACCGGTAGATTCCGAGAAACGCGTGCACAGCTGATGGTTGCTTCCAGCTTAGATAACGAGACAATACACAAGATAATCTTAATCTCTGCATATAAAACAAAGCCTAGCAGAACAGGAAATACAATGTAATTGGTAAATCATCATGTCTAGTGATGTTTTATCTCAAATTTCAAATTGTATTGACCCAGTTTAATTGTTATGATCCCTTTGTTTCCCTGAAGGGATACGATGTAATTTTTATCTGTGGAAGACGAACAGGTTATTATTGCAAATGTAGGGATCGTTTATGCACTTGTGATGTGCTTCATTCCGAGTCGCTTTACAGACGGGGTATAAAAATTAGCATAGATTTTTAGGCTTTTACAGGGGAGTCGCCTTATACGTGGGGTCGCTTTATAGTTGGCGATATACAGTATGTGAAGCCCATTTGTGGTGTCCCCCGCCGTGATATTGTTGGAATATTGCTAAAAACTGAGTAAAACCATACTCATTCACCCACTAACTTAGAGATTTGGTGGTATATTTGCTGGACTGAGCAATATATAGCTCTTTGTCATGATTCTCATGGAACTTTGGAATCCAGCACATAAAAAGAATGGACATGTCTTCTGTTTTAGAGTCAAGTCAAACTTTGATAGTACTGATGCATGGTTATGGCACATTTCTTGCTCAGTCAACATACTGGCATTATATGGTGTATTTTCTGATAAACAATCAACGCACGCAGGATATTGCACACTCTTACATAATGTTGTATTATCAACTTTGTATTATTTGAGTGAGTGAGTGAGTGAGTGAGTGAGTGAGTGAGTGAGTGAGCGAGCGAGTATGGTTTGTTGCTGCTTGTAGCAATATTCCAGCAACATCACGGTGGGGGACACCAGAAATGGGTTTCACACATTGTACCCATGTTGGGAATCGAACCCGGGTCTTCTGCGTGACGAGTGGACGCTTTAACCACTAGGCTACCCGACCGACCTGTATTATTTTGAAGTTGTTACAGAGACATGATAAAGTGATAATACAATGTATAATCCCAAATAGCTTTTAATTGTTGTTTGTTGGGTTTTTTCAATGCATCTTAGCATAGTGAGTTGCCTGCTAGCCTAGCAACCAGTTGTTACGTGGCTGACTGGCCTGTTTTTACCCTGTTCCCTACAGTTTATCACATGTTTTACAAAAAGCTGAATGCTGACATTGACCTTTGACTTAATTTTGACCTAAGACTTTTCAAAGCAGTGCCCCATCCTAGAGAAGGTATATACCAAGTTTAATGATACAAGCATTAATACTTTTTGAGGATGTGTATCCACAAACTTAAACTTTTGTGAATGTTTTCTATTTTGTCATCTTGAACACCTCACTGTATTTGCCAGAGAATGTTTCATGGGAAATTTGAAAGATATGGAAGTCCATGGAAGAATAATCTCTTTATGCCAAAGTCCAACAAAACCTCCAAACAGTCCCATTTCATAGGGCTGCTGTATACTTACTTCAGAACTTTATATTAAAAGAAGACACAGGCTTCTCCCTTTCCTACTTTTCAAGAACTATGTTATAAATAGTGAAAAAGTCTTAATAAAGAAACAGTTGCATACTATAGGGAGGGGAAAAAAATAATTTGTGTTCAATTATGGGAAATTGTATTCAATTGCTTGGTCATTTGGACCTTCTGGTTAAATTTTGATTATTTCAAACCAAAAACAACTAGTACATACATCAACAGTATGTATATTGTGTAACGCTGCTTCAAAAGGAGGACTGTACAACCTGTATTTTCCTAGTCTGTTCAGCTGAAACTGTTCAAAAGTTATTGGTTCCTTCCTCTGTTTGATGGCGACGCCCACACAAGTAGCGCCTGCTTCTGACACACATTTCATGAGTTCATCCTTTTGTTCGAGTGCAAATAAATGCTGCAATAAAGAGCTACAGTGAGTAGGATTTACCATTCATTTATCACCGAAAGGATTATGTACTGCAGAACGCTGTTGAGCGTGTAAGCACCGATATAGAAACAACTAGATATTCTACAACTAGATATGAATGCTGTATGTGCACAGGTGATTAATGTTCATTCAACTGTAAATGATGTCTCCGATATATACATGACACTCTTAGAAACAGAATTGAATTATTTGTGAACATAATGCCACCCATAAGAATATACATGATCTGAAATTTTAGATGTAGATATGTTCACATATCAAATGAAATTGTTAAGTTTACATAAATTTGATATTTAATACTTATCCTGTCTCACATAATGCATTTTGTCTCTTGTTTTTCCCAAACCAAGAAGGGGAAACTTTGCTTGCAAACGCAACTTTTTGCAACTTGAAACATGTCACCCAAAGTACAGTTAGACGAGACAATCCTGAGAGGGGTACAAGGTGGGTAATACATCTTGTGAGACAGGGTCAGTTTTAATATTACATTTAATGTAAAATTAACCAGTTTTTACTTATCCTGTCTCACACTATGCATACCTTAAGGATAGATGGAGGTCGATTCAACCACTAACATCTGGTAGTGGAAATATAAGCCTCTCACATGCATCACACAAATAGATTTACATCAGTAAATGATGTAAACTCAATAGGTATCCAGCACAAATTTCGATGAAATAAATTTACATCAAATAACTGGTGTACTTAATTAGACACCTGTGCTTATGACTTTATAATTCTCAGTTGAGAATAATCATGTACACAAAAGAAATGCATCATCGTCAATCAAGAGTTCAATGTAGATTCTTCAGTGTACAGCATTAACGTATGTGGAGGAAAATTCATCTTTATTGATGGGACGCCGTCAAGTACCAACAGGCCAAATCGGTGAGGGCCAATAACGTCTTTGACGAAGACATCTCGTAGGTATAGTGACCAGCAAAAACAGACTCAAGCTGTCATAAGTATTGCTCCTGGATGCTAGTGACAGGGCTATAACAGTGAAGAGCCCATGTAGAAGCTAGCACATCTCATGCGTCTTACCGATACCGGGAAGTAGTAATTTCACAGCAGCATAAACCCGGAAAATGGTAGAACGATTCAAACAGCGACTGTTGTGGATGAGACCTCGTGTCATTGGTGACATTGGAATAAACAGAAAACAGTGGCTTCCAATTACGGCAAAGCTCTTCATAGTCCTGAATGGACAAAGTGCCAATACCCACTGATCTGCTGATCCGACAAACAATGTTAGTGGTGGAATGGTAAACATTCAATCATGTTGACCAGTAGATAATTTAAGCGATGAAATCCCATCTGAGACCTGACTGCGCTGTGCCTTGCCTGTGTCTATTGAAGTTGATCTTAAGAAATCTAGTGTGTGGCTAGATAGAACATGTCTGAGGTGAGATGACTCTGTCAAATGGAGGGTGAAGGAGGAGACTTCACCAGGCTGCTAGTCGGAAGATGGGATTGACGGGTACTTCAAGAAGGGTGTGAACCCAAATAGGGTGCAGCCAAAAGCAGTCATAGAGTTTTCAAAGGAGCAACATCCACTGAGTTATGACGGCCACAAACTTGAGGTTGTTGATGTACCACAATCAGTGGTCATCCACATCCTCACTGCCTCCTGGTCCAGAAGAGGGGTGCCCCAGCCCAGACAAAGGTGAGTGGTGGTAAATGTCATTCAGCAGACATGGCAGGCATACATTGGCTGACTCCACCAGTCCCATAATGGTGGGATGAGGCGGGATGAAGTGGCAGTTCAACTGTTGATGAGGGAGGAACCACCGGAGCTTAGCATCCAACGTTGGTTGTTTGGACGAATTCAAGGCCGACAGCTGCCAGATGACTCTCTGGGCTTGAGTCTGAGCAATCAACTAAATGCTCACTTGGAATCTGATCCCCTTCAGGTGGAGGTAGGAGATGACAGGCTTTGTGATTCTGGTAAAACAGACGGGCCATTAAAATTCTTAAAAGTAGAGTAGGGAATCCAAGAAGTATGGGTACATGTAGATATACATTCTGTTGATCTGTGGATGGTCCCAGACCAGGAAGTTGAAGATGCATATATTGGACAGGCGTCTGTATGGGTCCACAGCACACTTAGGGGTGGGTAATGGATGACATGTGGCGTTACAGAAAGCTGATGCCTTTCCTTCGGGAGTGAAATGATGAGTGGGTTGTCCAGGATAGTGAACTTGGGCCAGAACTGCTGCAATCTGCCACTTAACGGGGTTGGTGTCACCTGAACAACTAGGGATGGAAGGTCCCAGTCATCCAGCACAAGAGAATGAGACTGCCGTTCCCAGTCCCATCCTCTATTAGAGGCTGGTTGAAGGTGGATTGTCAGTCATTGCTAGTAACAAACAGTTGAACATTTACTTACCGCTGTGTCGTGTCATAGAGTTTCTGCGGTACATCCTGGATGATGTGATTGAAAAGCACGGGAACTGACAATGGCTGCTTCAAGAATCATATTGTGTAGTCAAAGTCCTATGAACTCTGAGTAATGTATCCCTGATGCCGAAGGAAGGTGCATGTACCTGAAACATGTGCATGTGCATGTTAGCAAGGTGTGCCTCATTCAACGTCATTGGGTGATTGAGGGCAGCTGAAACGCCTGATTTGCCAACATGACAAGGGAGTCACCCAGGGATGATGATATGGAGCCAATCACAGGCTCAGGTGGCAGCTTTAAAACAAGCAGCTAAATTGTCACCTACCATGTGAAACGTTGACAATGAAGGGCCAGCTTTCTGAGGGGAATCCTGAGACAGCTTGGATACCATTCAACATAATATACTGTCATACCATGAAGATCTGCATTAGAATTGACCTTCTGCAACTCATGCTTGTCCTTTGAGTCGACTAACTAGTGGTGAGTGAGTTTGGTTTAACGCCGCTTTTAACAGTATTCCAGTTATATCACATCGTGTCAGCTTAATGTGGGAGGAAAGCCCGAAGTGATGCAGGTCTCAGATGTTTACCACTTCGGTGAAACCCACGAGCACGGGTATGGTGCTGACAAACCTAGAAACATAATTGGGGAGAACCGGGATTCAAACCCACAATCATAGGTTTCTGGCATGCCCAAGGGACGCAACTCTGCACAGCAAATCACGGCACCTTAGACGACTGGGCCACCCGTGCCCCCAGTCGACTAACTAAATTCACCCTATTCCAACTGCATTGATCGATGCTCATGATGTCAATGACATATAGCTTGAATATTGCTGAGTGTGACGTTAGACAACATCGAGGCAACCTATGGACACTGCTTAGATCCTTGTGGTAGTCTGGGGCAAGGGAGCTTTCCAAAACCGTTGAGGGAGCACAATGACGGCTGAACGGCTGCACCAGGTGAGGAGACGTCAAACGCACCTGAGCTTGGGGAAGACTGAAATTTACCTGCCTGATGTGAGGTGTTCCGAAGGTGAGGGACACACAGGATACACAGGAGGCCATTTATGAGGTAGAGCAATTTTCTCGACTGATATGTCCAAAATGTTGTCAGTCATTGTTGAACTGTAGCATAACCTAGGTAGAATATGGATCCACTGTGCACAAAATGATGACCTGAAGTAGCCGTAAAAAAACATGTAGGTCTAGGCAGAATATGGATCCTCTGCAAAACACTTGGTGAACTGTAGTTTGGTATAACAACCACGTAGGTCTAGGTAGAATATGGATATCCTCTGCAAAACACCTGGAGAGCTGTAGTGTGGTATAACAACCATGTAGGTCTGGGTAGAATATGGATATCCTCTGCAAAACACTTGGTGAGCTGTAGTGTGGTATAACAACCATGTAGGTCTAGGTAGAATATGGATATCCTCTGCAAAACACCTGGAGAGCTGCAGTGTGGTATAACAACCATGTAGGTCTGGGTAGAATATGGATATCCTCTGCAAAACACTTGGTAAGCTGTAGTGTGGTATAACAACCATGTAGGTCTGGGTAGAATATGGATATCCTCTGCAAAACACCTGGTGAACTGTAGTGTGGTATAACATCCACGTAGGTCTAGGTAAAATATGGATATCCTCAGCAAAACACCTGGTAAACTGTAGTGTGGTATAACAACCATGTAGGTCTGGGTAGAATATGGATATCCTCTGCAAAACACCTGGTGAACTGTAGTGTGGTATAACAACCACGTAGGTCTAGGTAAAATATGGATATCCTCTGCAAAACACCTGGTGAGCTGTAGTGTGGTATAACAACCATGTAGGTCTAGGTAGAATATGGATATCCTCAGCTAAACATTAAGTGAACTGTAGTGTGGTATAACAACCATGAAGGTCTAGGTAGAATATGGATATCCTCAGCAAAACACTTAGTGAACGGTAGTTTGGTATAACAACCATATAGGTCAAGGTAGAATATGGATATCCTCTGCAAAACACCTGGTGAACTGTAGTGTGGTATAACAACCACGTAGGTCTAGGTAGAATATGGATATCCTCTGCGAAACACCTGGTGAGCTGTAGTGTGGTATAACAACCATGTAGGTCTAGGTAGAATATGGATATCCTCAGCAAAACACTTAGTGAACAGTAGTGTGGTATAACAACCATGTAGATCTGGGTAGAATATGGATATCCTCTGCAAAACACTTAGTGAACTGTAGTTTGGTATAACAACCATATAGGTCTAGGTAGAATATGGATATCCTCTGCAAAACACCTGGAGAGCTGTAGTGTGGTATAACAACCATGTAGGTCTAGGTAGAATATGGATATCCTCTGCAAAACACCTGGTGGGCTGTAGTGTGGTATAACAACCATGTAGGTCTAGGAAGAATATTGATATCCTCTGCAAAACACTTGTTGAACTGTAGTGTGGTATACAACCATGTAGGTCTAGGTAGAATATGGATATCCTCAGCAAAACACTTGGTGAGCTGTAGTGTGGTATAACAACCATGTAGGTCTAAGAAGAATATGGATATCCTCAGCAAAACACTTGGTGAACTGTAGTGTTGTATAACAACAATGTAGGTCTAGGTAGAATATGGATATCCTCTGCAAAACCTGGTGAAATGTAGTGTGGTATAACAACCATGTAGGTCTAGGTAGAATATGGATATCCTATGCAAAACACCTGGTGAGCTGTAGTGTGGTATAACAACCATGTAGGTCTAGGTAGAATATGGATATCCTCAGCAAAACACTTGTTGAACTGTAGTGTGGTATAACAACCATGTAGATCTGGGTAGAATATGGATATCCTCTGCAAAACACTTGGTGAACTGTAGTGTTGTATAACAACCATGTAGGTCTAGGTAGAGTATGGATATCCTCAGCAAAACACTTGGTGAGCTGTAGTGTGGTTGACAACCATGTAGGTCTGGGTAGAATATGGATATCCTCAGCAAACACTTAGTGAACTGTAGTTTGGTATAACAACCACGTAGATCTAGGTAGAATATGGATATCCTCAGCAAAATACTTAGTGAACTGTAGTTTGGTATAACAACCATGTAGGTCTAGGTAGAATATGGATATCCTCTGCAAAACACTTGGTGAACTGTAGTGTGGTATAACAACCATGTAGGTCTAGGTAGAATATGGATATCCTCAGCAAAACACTTGGTGAGCTGTAGTGTGGTTGACAACCATGTAGGTCTGGGTAGAATATGGATATCCTCAGCAAACACTTAGTGAACTGTAGTTTGGTATAACAACCACGTAGATCTAGGTAGAATATGGATATCCTCAGCAAAATACTTAGTGAACTGTAGTTTGGTATAACAACCATGTAGGCCTGGGTAGAATATGGATATCCTCTGCAAAATACTTAGTGAACTGTAGTTTGGTATAACAACCATGTAGGTCTAGGTAGAATATGGATATCATCAGCTAAACACCTGGTGAGCTGCAGTGTGGTATAACAACCACGTAGGTCTAGGTAGAATATGGATATCCTCTGCAAAACACTTGGTGAGCTGTAGTTTGGTATAACAACCATGTAGGTCTAGGTAGAATATGGATATCCTCTGCAAAACACTTGGTGAGCTGTAGTTTGGTATAACAACCATGTAGGTCTAGGTAGAATATGGATATCCTCAGCAAAACACTTGGTGAGATTAATGTGGTATAACAACCATGTAGGTCTAGGTAGAATATGGATCCTCTGCAAAACACTTGGTGAGCTGTAGTTTGTTATAACAACCATGTAGGTCTAGGTAGAATATGGATATCCTCAGCAAAACACTTGGTGAGCTTTATTTATTCTGTATGTGTATAGAAGAAAGTTACTCAAGTTTGGTATAACAACCATGTAGGTCTAGGTAGAATATGGATATCCTCTGCAAAACACTTGGTGAGCTGTAATGTGGTATAACAACCATGTAGGTCTAGGTAGAATATGGATATCCTCAGCAAAACACTTGGTGAGCTGTAATGTGGTATAACAACCATGTAGGTCTGGGTAGAATATGGATCCTTTGCAAAACATTGATGAACTGTTGCATGGTGTGACAACCATGTAGGTCTTGCTGCAAAGGGAAGGTCGATGAAAGGAAGCATGTCAAGTAGTCCGTTTTCCAGCTTTTCAGCTTTTCATGAAATGTCTCACGGAGCACACCTACATGTATTGATAACACAGCGAATAAGACATGAAAGAAGGCTTGGGCCTCATATGTCATGAACAGGTGACTTTAGAGTGAGATGTTTCAAGTTGCAAATGGTTGCCCTTGAAGCAAAGTTTGAACTTCTTATTCGGAAATGAGACAAAATGCCCAGTGTGAGATGGGGAAAAGTAAAACTTTATTTATTCTGTATGTGTATAGAAGAAAGTTACTCATGTAGATCTGCAAGGTAATGCTAAATATGAACAAGGCTGATCCATTAAATGCTTAAAATTCAATTTCTGCCTTCTCATTGTCCATCTTAACAATGGTAATCTTTATGAATGTAAATGTTTCCGAGGCAGTGAATTATTAATTTAGTACTGATATTCATAAATATGTATCAATACATTATTGACATAAATTGTTTTTACAGATACATCGATATCGCAATATACAATGACATCCCTACTGTTGATACGTACTATTGTTAATTCAAAATTGTAAATCTTTCACAGCAATACAAACGATAATGTGTTTTCTCATTTTTCTTCATGCCATCGTTCATTGGCAAACATCACCGGAAATCCTTTAATTTTCTGTATAAATTGGACTATCAACTAGAGCAAGGATACCAACGAAACCAAATAGTTAACACCTTCCTGAACCCTATATAACTGATGATAGTTAATTCAGTATCTATCATATTTATCCACTGCCGGGGTACTGCCTCTTTATGCTGAAGTATGTACTTACCAGCCGGCTGAATCCACCAGATATGATAGCTACACCCCCAGGAACATCCGACACCTGATCACAAACATAAAGCAGTTCCTTAGCACAACAGTAATGTGTGATAACATCAGAAAAAACAGGCAGGTAAATAAACATCCCTGTTACATGACACCGTATAATGAGACAGGTGTGTTTAACAAGCTTCATATAAATACTGAAACCTACCATACTGCAGCCTATATTAATAGTACAGGAACATTTAACTATTGAGAATATTAGGGGTAAAACGATACATCGGTGCACTGGTGCATATGATACACAATACCTTTTTTTACGATGCACTTGCTAAATTATATCACAAACTATTCATTTAATAACCCCCCAGCATTTTTGTCAGTCAAATATTTGCTAAATCTGGTGTAATTAGTAGTCCAAGTTTTTTTACCTGCTCTGAAATATTTCCAAGAAGTTTCCATGCGATTTGACGTATATATGAGTATGGACTGTGATACGTATCATATCGTATCGTATCGTATCGTATCGTGACCTTCCTGTATCGTTTCAATGCTAGAGGATATGGTCAAACTACTTAATATTTATCGATGGCAAAAGTCCAAATATAGACAAAAATAGCACAAATGTTAACCACATATGATTACATGACACTTTTTCCCTATGGATAACAACTTCTTTTACTCTTTTGTAACAATATTTCACAGCTACTTCTTGCCCCTTCATCAGGTGAATACTGAGCTGGCTGATGAAGGGGCTAGAAGTAGCTGTGATATGTTGTTACAAAAGAATAAAGGAAGTTGTTATCCATTAAAAAGTGTCATGTAATCATGTGGTTCCAATGGAGTTTCACCTTGTAAACTAAAGACGAGCTGACTTATAGATGTCAACTTGTTTCTGTCAAAGCAATGTCCCAATACAGGTGATAGTACAACACCCTAGAACACCTTACAACACCCTAGAACATCTTACAACATCTTACAACACCTTAGAACACCTTACAACACCCTAGAAATTGTCTTCCTAAAGTACTACCAGAAATGATAGAAAAACAGTTTTTCGCCTGTTAAAACAAAATGGGATGTTTCACAGGCTGATGCTATCCAGTAACTACTGTTCTACCTCCAGTCAGTTTGGCCCCAATAGAGAATGATGAATTGCAAAATAACTCAAAATCGGGAATACATGTAGTCCATTAAATTTCAATATAGTACATGACTATGAATACCCTGTACTCCCAGAGTAATTACTCAGGAGATCAAGGAAAGGTTCTCCTTACAAAGTATTTATATCTTCGTAATTTTAGTATCCCACTTCAAATGATGACTGACAAGAAAGCAGTTGGCACAGATCGAAATCATCTCGTTATCCATGTTCTAGTTAGCTAGTTTCAGATAGAAAAAGAATTGATTGCATTAATAAGCTTTTTCTTCTTCTTTCTTTACATATATACTGTGGGAAACAAATAAGGGAACACATGAAAGTACACGTTCCTTTATTCTTTTCCAGGTTTCTTCACATGCTTTGAATTGCTCTGTGGGTGAAAATTTGGAAATAAATAAAGGAATAGTGTGATAAAGTGGTGTTCCCTTATTTGTTTCCCTCAGTATAATTTGATCACTATAGTGGACAAATATCCTGGAAGCAATTATTTTTTTACGATGTTATTAAATTTGCAATTCTGCAAAGGGTGATATGATTAAAAGCTGTCCCTGAGTGATTTTTTCAAATTGTTAAATTGTTGAATTAATATGGTGACAAACATTTATGCAATGTTTCAGCACATTTGTTTCCATTCTTATTGAAAGTGTACATGACATATGAACCTGTGTGAGTCCCTCAATGTTGTTGTAATCATATGATGCCAGGACTTGGTTTGTGGCTGGGTGGATCTGATCTAGCGATCCCTGGTTCACCTCCAAGATCACTGGGACTCGGTCATCAGACCAATGGTGCTTATAGGCATTGAATCTCTGGAAATAGACACACACATAATAACGCCATATAACAGAGTCTGTTCAAAACAATTTTTAAAGTAAAAAGTTTCTAATACCATCAGCAACAAACCAAGAATCATCAAATATTTCCCACACACAGTGGAAATTAGAATAACAAGTCAAAAGTGACATATTTCGAGCCAGCCTAATTTGAAACCTTATTGCACTTCTATTATATTACCTGTGGCCTGAGAAAACAGCTTTAAGGTTACAAGTCCCATGTCCCTCCATACTTAAAAGACCTGTGAAGATCGGGGGTGAAAGAGGTCTTCAGCAAGCCATTGTTGGGAACGTCCGGAAGAATGATACTTAATGATAAAATGTATTCTATATAATTGTGTTTGTGTATTAATCATAATAAAGTGCCGTCAATGAGGGTGCCACCCCAATATTTCTTACCTTGATACTTGTACCTTTTTTTTTTTCTTTGCTGTGTTCTGTTTATTTGTACGCCAAATACGATCTAACCAAACTGAGAAAGACATGTTTTATTGACTGACTGCACTGCATTATTATACCCCCCATGCTTGCTGTAAAAGGCAACTATGCTTGTCGTAAGAGGCGACTAACGGGATTGGGTGGTCAGGCTTGCTGACTTGGTTTGATGCAAGCAGTGTCAACAAGCACTGTCCCGCTACCGCTCCAATGACAAAATGCTCAGAATCAAACTACAAAAGGTAAGTTATTGATCAAATTTGAGAAATATATCAGTTTGAAACATAGATCACTAAGACATGACCATCACTTGATACTCTCGCTAAAAATAAAATGTATGGAAAGGCAGTGGGGCAATCTCTTATAACATGCATACTTTCTGTGAATATTTTCATGATGTTTTACGTTATGTCATGATAGCTTTATTGTAATTTTAGTGCTCCATCAGATCAGGGAAGGGCAATTATCGGCAATATCCACCAGAAAGCATGGAAAAAGCTTATGAGGCTGTCCTTAGCGGTGAAGGGCTCAAAAGTGCAGCAAGGCACCGTCGGTGAAACAGGTTGGTCCAACATGGAGATCTTTCAGAATTATCTTGAGAACCACTTCAGCACGTACTGTGTTGAGGCTACAGCAGATAATCCAATCCTGGTTCTTTATGATGCCCATAAATCACATGTATCTCTGTCACTTATCGAGTAGGCAAGGGAAAAGCACATCATTCTTCGTATTGCCCGTGCACATGTCACATCTCCAGTCTATGGATGTTGGATGTTTTGGTCCTTTAGAGAGAATTTACAACGGCCTCAGACACAAATTCATCAGGGTACATGTAAGGTCTGGGATTGACAGGTATTCAATATGCAAAGTCGCATGTAAAGCCTATTGTGCTGCACTCTCACCAATGAATCTGCAGTCTGCATTCAAGAAATGTGGCATATACCCATTAAACAGGGATGTAGTTAAACAGGGCACATTTCTTCCATCAACTGTTTTCACGACAACTGCTGACACGTCTACTACACCTTCCACAACAACAATTTCTTCAGGTGACAACGTCGATGTCAGTACCACCAGGTGTACCAGTTTCTTCAAAAACACGTTCTGACAACAGATATTAAACCCACAAAGAAAAAGAAAGGTCCTGAGTTTGGTTGTTGGTCGAAAAGCTATAATGGAGGACAATATCTTTGCCAAAGTTGTGGCACATAAAGAAAGCCCAAAGATTACATCAACACCAGTGACCTGTACATATAAGTCCAGAAAGTCTATGACTTCTACTGTTCCAAGGAATACCCTGTCCACTTCACCAACTCCGGGTACTTCTTGTGTCAGTAGCACAGAAGTCCTTGATGCAGACTCGACAGATATGGAAGGATCACAGAATCATGAGAGTGAACTTTGCTGCAAGTGCGAAAAATGGCAACCAGAAGAAGTACGGCAATGTACATATTTGTGAAATGGGCACAATGCACAAACCCTGCATGTGCACGCCTGTCAGATGTGTGAGACGAAACGCAGAGTTTTGGTCCCCCTGTCACGATGAGCCAGAGGAGTCATGTGCATTATTATGTCGTTTTGTGATGGGGATTCCCCCACTGTGCATGTGACAAGCTTGTGTGAGGCTCAGTGGACATAAATAGCAAGCCAATGAGGCGAGTGAAAACGTATGACGTCATTACAAAGTGTCATGGCCGTACTCGGAACTTCGGAAGTGATCGATATGGACTTTCACTTCATAGACTTTCAAATTAAACATTTGAATAAAATGACATTGATCATATCAACAGGTACGTACCATATTATAACTGTTCTAAAAAGAGTTTGTATTTTATGAGCATGTGTGTCTGATCCGAGCAAAAACTGATGACACCAGGATAATAACTATATGTGAGTACATGACACTATTCTTATGGAAAACTTCTTTTACTCTTTTGTAACAATATTTCACAGCCACTTCAAGGCCCTTCATGAGGTGAATACTGATCAGGCTGATGAAGTGGCTAGAAGTGGCTGTGATATGTTGTTACAAAAGAGTTATCCATAAGAATAGTGTCATGTATTCATGTTCATCCAAATTCTAAATACCTATCAAAGATTATTAGATTTAATATAACAGAACTTTGTGTGATACACAAACAGTAAGGACAAGGTAGGAACACCAGGCCTGTACAGTAGCAGGACAAGGTAGGTACACAAGGTATGTACAGTAGGTACACCAGGCCTGTACAGTAGGACAAGGTAGGTACACCAGGCCTGTACAGTAGGAGGACAAGGTAGGTACACCAGGCCTGTACAGTAGGACAAGGTAGGTACACCAGGCCTGTACAGTAGTAGGACAAGGTAGGTACACCATGCCTGTACAGTAGGACAAGGTAGGTACACCATGCCTGTACAGTAGTAGGACAAGGTAGGTACACCAGGCCTGTACAGTAGGACAAGGTAGGTACACCATGCCTGTACAGTAGGACAAGGTAGGTACACCATGCCTGTACAGTAGGACAAGGTAGGTACACCAGGCCTGTTCAGTAGGACAAGGTAGGTACACCAGGCCTGTTCAGCAGTAGGACAAGGTAGGTACACCATGCCTGTTCAGCAGTAGGACAAGGTAGGTAGGTACACCATGCCTGTACAATAGGACAAGGTAGGTACACCAGGCCTGTTCAGCAGTAGGACAAGGTAGGTACATCATGCCTGTACAGTAGGACAAGGTAGGTACACCATGCCTGTACAATAGGACAAGGTAGGTACACCATGCCTGTACAGTAGGACAAGGTAGGTACACCAGGCCTTTACAGTAGTAGGACAAGGTAGGTACACCAGGCCTGTACAGTAGTAGGACAAGGTAGGTACACCAGGCCTGTACAGTAGGACAAGGTAGGTACACCATGCCTGTTCAGTAGCAGGACAAGGTAGGTACACCATGCCTGTACATCCGTAGGACAAGGTAGGTACACCAGGCCTGTACAGTAGTAGGACAAAGTAGGTACACCATGCCTGTACAGTAGGACAAGGTAGGTACACCATGCCTGTACAGTAGGACAAGGTAGGTACACCAGGCCTGTACATCTGTAGGACAAGGTAGGTACACCATGCCTGTACAGTAGGACAAGGTAGGTACACCAGGCCTTTACAGTAGTAGGACAAGGTAGGTACACCAGGCCTGTACAGTAGGACAAGGTAGGTACACAATGCCTGTACATCAGTAGGACAAGGTAGGTACACCAGGCCTGTACAGTAGAGGGAAAGGTAGGTACACCATGCCTGTACAGTAGTAGGACAAGGTAGGACACCATGCCTGTTCAGTAGTAGGACAAGGTAGGTACACCAGGCCTGTACAGTAGGACAAGGTAGGTACACCAGGCCTGTACAGTAGTAGGACAAGGTAGGTACAACAGGCCTGTACAATAGGACAAGGTAGGTACACCATGCCTGTTCAGCAGTAGGACAAGGTAGGTACACCATGCCTGTTCAGTAGTAGGACAAGGAAGGTACACCATGCCTGTTCAGCAGTAGGACAAGGTAGGTACACCATGCCTGTACAGTAGTAGGACAAGGTAGGTACACCAGGTCTGTACAGTAGCAGGACAAGGTAGGTACACCATGCCTGTTCAGCAGTAGGACAAGGTAGGTACACCATGCCTGTACAGTAGTAGGACAAGGTAGGTACACCAGGCCTGTACAGTAGTAGGACAAGGTAGGTACACCAGGCCTGTTCAGTAGTAGGACAAGGTAGGTACACGAGGCCTGTACATCAGTAGGACAAGGTAGGTACACCAGGCCTGTACAGTAGTAGGACAAGGTAGGTACACAAGGTATGTACAGTAGGATAAGGTAGGTACACCATGCCTGTTCAGCAGTAGGACAAGGTAGGTACACCATGCCTGTACAGTAGGACAAGGTAGGTACACCAGGCCTGTTCAGCAGTAGGACAAGGTAGGTACACCATGCCTGTACAGTAGTAGGACAAGGTAGGTACACCAGGCCTGTTCAGTAGTATGACAAGGTAGGTACACCAGGCCTGTTCAGTAGTTGGACAAGGTAGGTACAACAGGCCTGTACAGTAGTAGGACAAGGTAGGTACACCATGCCTGTTCAGCAGTAGGACAAGGTAGGTACACCATGCCTGTTCAGCAGTAGGACAAGGTAGGTACACCAGGCCTGTACAGTAGTAGGACAAGGTAGGTACACCAGGCCTGTACAGTAGCAGGACAAGGTAGGTACACCATGCCTGTACAGTAGGACAAGGTAGGTACACCAGGCCTGTACAGTAGTAGGACAAGGTAGGTACACAAGGTATGTACAGTAGGACAAGGTAGGTACACCATGCCTGTTCAGCAGTAGGACAAGGTAGGTACACCATGCCTGTACAGTAGTAGGACAAGGTAGGTACACCATGCCTGTTCAGTAGTAGGACAAGGTAGGTACACCAGGCCTGTACAGTAGTAGGACAAGGTAGGTACACCATGCCTGTACAGTAGGACAAGGTAGGTACACCATGCCTGTTCAGCAGTAGGACAAGGTAGGTACACCATGCCTGTACAGTAGGACAAGGTAGGTACACCATGCCTGTACATCCGTAGGACAAGGTAGGTACACCAGGCCTGTTCAGTAGTAGGACAAGGTAGGTACACCATGCCTGTTCAGTAGTAGGACAAGGTAGGTACACCATGCCTGTTCAGTAGCAGGACAAGGTAGGTACACCAGGCCTGTACAGTAGGACAAGGTAGGTACACCATGCCTGTTCAGCAGTAGGACAAGGTAGGTACACCAGGCCTGTACAGTAGTAGGACAAGGTAGGTACACCATGCCTGTTCAGCAGTAGGACAAGGTAGGTTCACCAGGCCTGTACAGTAGAACAAGGTAGGTACACCATGCCTGTTCAGTAGTAGGACAAGGTAGGTACACCATGCCTGTTCAGTAGTTGGACAAGGTAGGTACACCATGCCTGTTCAGCAGTAGGACAAGGTAGGTACACCATGCCTGTTCAGCAGTAGGACAAGGTAGGTACACCATGCCTGTACATCAGTAGGACAAGGTAGGTACACCATGCCTGTTCAGTAGCAGGACAAGGTAGGTACACCAGGTCTGTACATACGTAGGACAAGGTAGGTACACCATGCCTGTTCAGTAGTAGGACAAGGTAGGTACACCATGCCTGTACATCTGTAGGACAAGGTAGGTACACCATGCCTGTACAGTAGGACAAGGTAGGTACACCAGGCCTGTACATCCGTAGGACAAGGTAGGTACACCATGCCTGTTCAGCAGTAGGACAAGGTAGGTACACCATGCCTGTTCAGCAGTAGGACAAGGTAGGTACACAATGCCTGTACAGTAGGACAAGGTAGGTACACCATGCCTGTACAGTAGTAGGACAAGGTAGGTACACCATGCCTGTTCAGCAATAGGACGAGGTACGTACACCATGCCTGTACAGTAGGACAAGGTAGGTACACCAGGCCTGTTCAGTAGCAGGACAAGGTAGGTACACCAGGTCTGTACATATGTAGGACAAGGTAGGTACACCATGCCTGTTCAGTAGTAGGACAAGGTAGGTACACCATGCCTGTACATCCGTAGGACAAGGTAGGTACACCATGCCTGTACAGTAGGACAAGGTAGGTACACCATGCCTGTTCAGCAGTTGGACAAGGTAGGTACACCATGCCTGTTCAGTAGTAGGACAAGGTAGGTACACCAGGCCTGTACAGTAGTAGGACAAGGTAGGTACACCATGCCTGTACAGTAGGACAAGGTAGGTACACCAGGCCTGTACAGCAGTAGGACAAGGTAGGTACACCATGCCTGTACAGTAGTAGGACAAGGTAGGTACACCAGGCCTGTACAGTAGGACAAGGTAGGTACACCATGCCTGTTCAGCAGTAGGACAAGGTAGGTACACCATGCCTGTTCAGTAGTAGGACAAGGTAGGTACACCAGGCCTGTACAGTAGTAGGACAAGGTAGGTACACCAGGCCTGTTCAGTAGTTGGACAAGGTAGGTACACCATGCCTGTTCAGTAGTAGGACAAGGTAGGTACACAATGCCTGTTCAGTAGTAGGACAAGGTAGGTACACCATGCCTGTTCAGTAGTAGGACAAGGTAGGTATACCATTCCTATGTATACAATTGTTTAAGCTAAAAGTACTGATGTTATTGAATGTTTATAATCCCAGTTACCTTTATCTTCTGGTTTTCATCTGCAAACTGATTCCTGAATCTCTGCAAAAAATAAGAATTATCAGTCATGAAAACCATTCCTAAGAATGATTTTGTTATTCTTAACATTTGCAACATCAAAATTCTAAAGATATATATCCTTTTGGATTTGAGATGAAATGAAAGTGTGTTGTGTACAAGTTGAATTTGGTTCAGATCCATCCTCATTTGCTGTTGTTATCATAATGATATATGAGCCTCCTGGAGAGATTATCCATTCACCATATTTTGAAACAAACATGTTCATGGAGGATGCAGGATGTTGCAGTAGACAAAAGTTGCTTCAATATTGTAAAAGCTCTCGAGGCTAATGCCTAACTGAGGTAATAATTTGAAATACTTTTTTGATTTAGTCAAGAAGATTGAAGTTATCGTCAGCTTTGAACATGTTCTATGGTTTTTAAATTTGCATCTTGATATAGTCATTGAGAACCTTGAAAACATATTTCATGTTACCTTGAGTTCAAGAGAAGAATATTAGACATGTTTTGCTTCCAGTAATCCAGAAATTCTATGATGTGATTCAAGTGTTTCCAAAACAGCCACACGTCATCTTGCAAGTGTACCCTTGGATGGTTTTACTAATGTATGGAGTAGGAAATATTTAAAGGGGCACTGATCTAACGCAATTCCCCGGGACTGGTTGTTGCCTTTGTTATTGTTTTTTTCCAGTGAGTACCCGGATGTATATCAGAAATCTAGACTAGTTCGCGACCTCTGCGCGACCATTCGTAAGCGCATTAGTCGCTTTTATGGGTAGTAATAAGGGCGTATGGTCACATTGATCAACAAAATAAAATACAGTTTTCGAGATAATAAGGAAATGTAGGTATCTTTGTGGGTAGCATCGGTAATGGTGACGAAGTTTTGATAAGTCACTTGCTTGGTAATTTTGCGATTTTCGTTTACACTATTTTGACTTGCAACACAAAGTAAATATTTCACCTGAGCATTGCTTTTTTTATAGTGTGTATTTTTTTTTACTGTCAAATGTGTTACAAATTTATTAAACGTCTAAATATTCAGTTATTTTACAAAGCGACTGAAAACATTTCCATCTGTATTATTATGATAACGAATTCCAAACATTTTTATGTTTAATGTCATCACCAAGAGACTGAAAATGTTACGTTGAGAAAAGTACATTTCTATGTTGTTTGGCTTCTTATCCTACATAATAATCTGTTGTGATGTTTGTAGGCCCTTTTGATCGTCTTAATCAATCTGGACAGATTTTTTAGTCAAAATGACTGAAATATTTACACATTTTATAAATTGCCTGAGAGAATCACATTTTACAAATTGACGGTAATATATACACGCTTACAAAGGAAAAGAACTGAAAACAACGTCTATCGCGCAATGAAGAATTTCCCAAACAAGACGTACAGAAACAAGAACGAATCGGTTCAAATGAAGGAAAACAAAATGCAAATATCATAATTACAACCTACCAAATTTATGTGTATAAATTTTAGGCAGCTTCCTTGTTCGAGGAATGTATCCGTGAATATCCACACAAAGGAACAATATCCCACTCGTCTGCAGATGTACAAAGAAACTTATTCGATGTCACGTGTCTCAGTAACAATCAAATATTTTAATAGATATATATCGTTTCGGGATATTAGAACCCGTGTTCGTTTCTCAACTGATAACTTGGATTGTTTCAGGTCTTTTACATAGGTGTCAACTCTCAATGGTCGGCTGAGAAAGCCCAAGTGACAACTATTTTCATAACGTTCACGGTTCCTAAAAAATCCATTGAGTGATAGATAACAATGATCAATCAATCAACGTATTATAAGTTAACCCTTTGAACAAAGTATGTTGTTTTTACATCGGCACTTCACGCCATGGTATGAGTGTATTCCCTTTGTTTTAGTAAACCTAGACATGTAAACACTCACTCTTGACATATCCACTGTGCAAGATAACAGTGATTAATCAATCAACGTATTTTCTGTTAATCCTTTGATGACTAGGAACGTTCCGTGGATTTCCAAAAAAATAAATCAACTTATCATTCATCTCTTGCTGGGCTGCCACGTGCATATTACATAACACACATTTCACCTCACTTCAACCCTGGATTTAGATTGAATAATTACCCCAGACACAATAAATGCCAAATGGGAACCTTAGTCAGGTAATCTAAGTGGTGCTACCACTAATTGTACCTGTAATAAATTCATTAACTGAGCATCAAGTGAATGACGACAAATACACAAGTGAAGGGTTATACGAGAAAACGTGGATGACAACAAGGGAGAAGTAATCGTATTGTCGACGCAATCCGAAATCCGAAAATGCTTTCACTGCATTGATACTTTTTTTAGTGTTAACTATAACCATCTTGGGTATTTCCAAATGACGACATCCGATGAGCTCCGCTGTTCTTTTTGTCTGCTTGTTTAGGCTGAAGAAATTAATTAACATGCGCCCTTTGTCGAAATCTTTATAGATCACAGTTAACCAATCAGTGTTTATGCAAAAATGCGTAAAACAAATATTGCCTCCAGCCTCCAAGTTTATTTAGCTGTCCTTGCAGACGGTAGCCCAGTCTCTGGTCACGCTCAGTTGCGTTGCGTATCATCCGGGTACTCACGGGGGAAAAAACAATAACAAAGGCAACAACCAGTCCGGGGAATTGCGTTAGATCAGTGCCCCTTTAACCATACCTTAAATTGATAATTAAATGAACTTAAACAAAATGGAGAAAATATTCACAAATTATTATTTCCATAGAAACTGTTCACATTTGTTTTCAACATGCAAAAGCTAGTTATTCTGTTGTGAATGCTTTATGTCAATCAATCTTTATTTCGTACTCAAGAGGCCACAGGCCTTTAGTACATAATACAATTCAACATAATTAATCATTACAATAGAACATCAAATTGAAATAAATTATCTCCCACATAGATACATCATGACAACCATAAATATGCTCATTTTATTCTGGCATAGATAGTATTTAATTAACAGTTAACAATTTCATTTCTATGGTCAAAAGCATGGTTAATAAACATCGATAAATTCTTTACAACCTCTGTTCTCTCACATTTGAATAAACTTATAAATTTACATATGTTTGGTTCACTGTAATAGCATTTTGGTAAGCATTTTATTCTTAGTTCTAAATATAATGGACATCTGAGAAGGAAGTGATACTCGTCTTCTATTTCATTTAAGTTACACATGTTACATTTTCTTTGTTCTCTTTGGGTATTTATCTGCCTGTTTCAATATGTAGATCATGCGACATGCAACAAAACCGTGCCAATGCTTTTCTATATTTTGGTATGGTAATATCAACGAGATAGCATTCTCTATAAATGTAAGATTTAAAAAGTTTATAATAAAAATGTTTATTTGATAATGCTAATGAAACATTCCATGATTGTAAATAAATATCTTTTAGTCTATGTTTCAGTGACTGGATAAACTCAGCAGTATTATTGACCCGTTGATCATACCAAGCATTACCAAAACCAGATTCAAATAAGAGTTCTCTAATACCAGTTGCCCAGTTTCTTTTACCATTTGAATCAAACAACAATAACATATTATAACACTTTTTTGGAAATCTATACAAAGGCATATTTAAAATTCTTAACCAATATTTGATAACTTTAATATATGCAAAAATATACAGTGGATAGCGACCACAATCACCATAAACCATAACCCCGGGTGTATTAACTTTTACACCTAAATATTTCTTACAGGCATACAAGTGAATCTTTTCTATAGCATCTACTTTTGAGAGTCCCCAAATCTCTGCACCATACAATAAAATTGGACTTATTTTTACATCAAATTTTTTTAAAAGTGTATTATAATCAAAGTTTAGACCACATGCATTTCGTTGTATACCAATGAATACCTTTTGAGCTTGTAAGGATGCTTGGCTTACATGATATCTCCATGAAAGACAGTTAGTAAAATACAATCCTAAATATTTATAAAAACTTGTTATCTCCAATTGGTTACCTTTATAATACCATTTTTCATATTTTGATAAATTACCGCCGTTTTTAAATGCAACAATTTTTGTTTTATTTCTATTTACTTTCAATTTCCATTCATCACAGTACTTTTCTAAATCATTAATTTGTGACTGTAGACCTTTAATAGTACTTGAAAATAGTGCAATATCTTCTGCAAACAAAAGTAAAAACAATTGTATTTCTTCTGGGTGTAGTTGAATTCCATAGGAACAATTATTATATATTTGCATTGCAAATTCATTGATGAAAAACGAAAACAGGAACGGGCTTAAGATACAACCCTGTCGTACTCCTAAATGACTTGAAAATGTAGGAGATAAACTTGGTTATTTCTAACACAGACTTTGATATTTTCATAAATGCTACATAACAATTTATTCATTTTAGAACTTAATCCATGAGTCTTAAAAAGATTCCAAAGTTTATTTCTTTGCACAGAGTCAAATGCTTTAGAAAAATCTACAAAAACTACATAAAACTTTCCACCCTTATTATTAAGGTATCTTTGTATTAAACAATGTAATATAAATATGTTGTCCACGGTACTATATCCTTCTCTGAATCCAGCTTGTGACTCATCAATTTTGTTCATTGTACTAGCCCAATACATTAATCTTTTATTAATAATACAAGAAAATATCTTGCTAAAAATGCTCAAAAGAGTTTTACCCCTATAATTATCAGTGTTGTTTATGTCCCCGCTCTTAATGAGAGGTACAATTATTCCTACCCACCATGAATTCGGAAAGGTTCCGTTTTCTAAAATGACATTAAATATTAGTTCAAGATATGGTACTAACAGGTCTGCTGAATGTTTGAAAAATTCAGGCATTAGATTATCAATGCCAGATGATTTATTGCACTTAAGTTGTTGGATGCTTTCTAAAATTTCTTCTCTCGTAATTGGGGATCAAGGATATCAGCTACAATTTCATCAGTTTCATCGTTGTTATCATCCTCATTTACATTATCATTACATTCTAAAAATGA